TTATTGATATAAAAACACCGAAAAAGCTCTTATCCGTATAAACTACGAGCGAATAATAAATTGGTAACGAATGGGTTCAACCAAAACTAGCTCCATTTCAAATTAAAAATTTCAATAAACCAATAAGCTTTTTGTAACATGAATTAAAAATAGTATCTAGCTTGGTAGCTAGATACTATTTTTAATTAATGTTACAAAAAGCTTATTGGTTTATTGTCAATCAAACAAAGACACAATCATACAAGTTTGGAGTTCAATCCTTTCGATTAAATTAGAATTAAAGTTAGATTTGGGACTTTAATCTTGATTTTTTTTTATCTAACTCTGTGATTAGAAAACTAAGTTAGTCCGAAAACAATTCTGGCAAATACTTTATAATTTTGTTGTTTCTTCAAGCATTAGAAACTCGATTATTCGAAAACAAGTAGGTACCTTAAAAGTCTGAAGGAAACTTAATTATATCCTGATTTTTCATGATTTTTCTATGACTGAAATTAGAAATTTTAAAATCCTAATTAAAGACCTTGAAAAACTTACCTAGATTGATTTCGAGAGGAAAATTAAGACTAAAATTTTCCTCTCGAAATCAATCTAGGTTAGTTTTCTAAGGTCTTTAATTACGATTTTATTTTGAAGTTTAAAAGATTAAAAGCTAGTCAGCAAGATGACCACCAGGATGAACGCCGACTCAAAACGAAACGATGCATCAAAGGGAACGAGCCAAAAACCATCGAAGAAGACTAACAAGAACTAGTGAAACCAATTTATTGTAATTAGTGTAGAAAGATCTGAATAAACCCAGAAAACGGTCCATAATACATAAAAAAAACTGGCCCATGTGCTTGAAACTATTGGTTGTTTGATATTTTTCTACATTGAAAAACCTTTAGTCGATTTTTTTATTTACTGGCATTTTATGAAACTTAAATATTTGACTAGGTGAAACATAGAAAAATTGTTAAATCCTCAATTATTTTTTTCTGACGTAGGACTACGTCTTTGATTTTTATATGGGGGTACACTTTGTGAAAACCGAAAATTGAACATGTAACAAAATTATGAAAGATTTTGAACGTTAATAACTACACCAATTTCAATAATTTTAGCACCAATTGATCAGATATATTACTACGCATCAGGTAAATATAAAATTTTATCATTTTTCAAAATGTCACTATTGAAAATTTGCTCGGATGTGCAACTGTTGCTATGAAAATTAAAATTATCACCGATTGCCTGCGAAAAGTGATTTCCCTAATATAGATTTCAAAGTTGAATTCCATCCGATCTCACCAAACGGTGTTTATTCGATCACCTACTGGTGGTGTTCTCCATTACAAAACGAAAGGCTGCCTGCAAGCAGCAAGCTGCAGCCCACATGAGCATCCATAGAAGGAGGAAGAAGCCACACCGCTGTTGAACGGAATCAGTAGCTCTTCGTGAGTTGCTGTGGGTCATCTATGTCAAGCGCGTCATACTAAAGATTATAAACAGAGAGAACCCCGCTCAAATTCCTATTCCTACATAAAACAGAAGCTCCTGCTACAGTTAACAAATAAGATTTATTATATAAGACCACGTAGTCCTAAATTACAGAAATTACATTTTTTTCTTTTTTCCTTTGGTTTGGTTTTTCCGTCGATCTTGTTTTCCGTGCTGAGCACCAATGTTACCGACGTACCAGGAAGGCAACTCCCACACCTGGACCCTACCTATCGACCCATCAACTCATGAACCGGGGACCAACGGCTTTACTTCCCATCCGAAGGAAGGCGTGATCAGAGATGTTATGCCTCAGAACATCCCGGCGGCGCCGACTGGTATTGAACCCAGGCCAGCTGGGGTGAGAGGTAATCACGCTTACCACTACACCACCGGCGCCGTTAGAAATTACATTTGTCTTAAATTATGATAGTTGATCAAATTCCACGAACTTGTATTTACATTTGAATTAAAAGAATTCATACTTACAATCTGTATCAGAGATATCTATTTTGTAATTACAAAATCTTGAAAACATATGTGTTTGAGATGTCAAAACTATTTTCGTTTTAACTTTCAGAATTTTAAGAATTAATATTTTGAACAACAGCCAGGTTTTTTATTTAAATTATGAATTCAAAGTCCTTGTATTTAATTTTGGTACCTATGTTTGTGATTTAATTGATGATTGAAGATCTTAAAAATAATCTACACACTTAGAAAAATCATGTAAATTTAGGTGCTCTGAGAGTGACATATACGAACGTCAATTTTGACATAAATTTGAGTCGTAACAGACGTGAAATATAACTCAATCAAACGTACTTTTGTCCAACAACGAGCTTTTCAGTCTTGGAGCACTTAATATTACAAGTGTGTAGTTTCAAAATTCATGGAATTATCCAACTCGCAGAATTACCTAACATGATAATTTTCTTAAGTTTGAGATCCTTAAAATTCATATGAGATCCAGAAAATGGGCTTGTTTTGAAATAAATATAAATTAAATTTTTGATTATTAAAATAATAGTCACACCAAATTTAAATCGCTGAAACTCAGCAGTATTTCGCTGATTTTAGACTTGATAAAAGATCAGCAAAATTACCAGCAAAGTATTGCTGCTGAATTTTCCAGCAATTACAAATTCTGTCAAAAGGACAACTTTTTACTAATAATCAGCAAACATTTCAGCAATATTTTTTCACTGATTTTTCAGCAATAAAAAATTCTGACAGCTGACAGCATTTTGCTGAATAAACTCAGTAAATCGAATTTATTTTTACTTGGGGCTGGCAGATTCTGTTAAAGATTTTCGATACAAATACGCAAATAATAAAGACAAAATCACCAGGGTCTTTTCCATGCATAATTTATGAAAATTGAATATAACCAGTGTTCTTACCAACATAATTTTATATATTTGTACATAGTTTTGTTTACCTCCTCCTCCTCCTCGGTGGTATGAACGAATGCGAATTCTTGCGAGGGTGACGCTAACAGTTTGACAGCTCTTTACTAAGGTATCCAGCAAACCGTTTATGTTAGCTGAATTTTTCGGTAAAAATATTGTTTGTTGTTTTTCAGTAAAACTTTTGCGTTGCTGATCATGATCCAGCAAACCGTTTTACTGATAATGAAAACTAAAATTTGGTGTGTAAGCCTCGCCATAATAGGTCATCTTATTTAACGAAGTTGAAATGTATTCAACAGGAAAATAAAATAACAAATAGCCTTGACGCCTTTTGATTGAATAGCAGTTCAAGAGTTTCTATTTAACCGTAGTTTAACAAAACAAAAATATACCACAGACCCCCAATCGACTTTAAGAATATCACATTCGATGTTCAGCAAACAATGAAAGCTCAGCTTTTGTCAGGCATCGATGTACTCATTTTTTTAATCATAGCTAATGTTTTGAAACATCTTTCACCTGATCGATTGGTGACTATCAAGCTAAGATCCTGATGATATGCTGTAGCATATTTGGGGGGGGGGGGAGGGTAAATAGCTTTTCAGTTTCAACTCGTAGCTCTGCTCCCCATAAACTGTAAAGATCAACAAAGACCTTGATCCTGATATAAACCATTTGATACGCTGCTTGCCTTTGTGCTTGTGAATGTTGGATGCTGGTTAACAATGACATCAAGAATTGAAACGCTTGAAAGTTTATTTATAAACACTGAATATATCAGAATGGTATTTTCAAGGTGGCACAGAGAACGATAACTTCCTCCTTTTTTGCATAATTTATGAAGGGGGTGTTCATTTGTGTTGATTTCGTTGCACAATTATTAAGATGTTTACATAATTGGATATAACCGATGTTTGAACTGACAAGATTCTTTCGAATAACATTGTTTCTGAACTTTACGATTGGACGTAAAATCTAAATAATTTCCTTTAACAAAACAAAGTATGAAAAATTTACAAAAGCAATAAGAAAAGAAATAAAGTAATACAAGATAACCTAGGGAGTGGGGAAATTGCCTCCTTTTCCCTCTTACAAATCTGAAACTCGCCTCTATTGAGAAAGGGTGAAGCTCGAAAAATCTCACCTCCTCGGATCACTTAACAAATAATCTTCTTTGATTTTTATCTAAATCGGCCTATTCACAACGAAATTTTGCAGGAAATCTTCAAAATCTTTATAAATCCATCTACTCAGTGAATACGCATCTCAAAACAACAAAAAGAAATCTTTCCTGTGACAAATCAACATAATTTGTTTTTGATTCACTTATTAACACAAAAAAACAAACAAACTTTAATCAAAATAAAACATTGTGAAACTGGTTGCTTAACATTAGGGCAAATTGTACAAATTAGTTCGAAAATATATTTGATGATGGACTGCTTGTTCGTAGAATGATTCCATTGTGCACTCAATTATGTTTTTCCGCGATTTTTTTTTCTTCGATTTAGCCTTTATGGGCATTTTTAATACCACCATATTTTTTTAATGGGGTTGTTGCGTTAAATTTGGTTGCAATTTCAGATCACAAAATCAAAAATAATGTTGAAAAAATGGCGTGAGTACAGAATTGAGTGTACGTGGATATTCTAATGATTTTCAAATTATTACAGTTTATTCCATTATCATATTTGAATGATAAGTTATGTTATTTTTGATTGATCCAAACCTGTTGAACATGTTTTGAGTATAATTAGTAATTATACCTCATTACTAGCATATAACATCGAATCCATCCATTTCTATGATATTGAAAATGATCACATTTTTCAATGAGTAAATCATCTCAAAATTGATACTTTATGCTGAAGAATTTCGTTTAAGATTCAATTTGTGATATTAATAAAATAAATAAAAATAAGCTATAATCCTCGGAGCATTTATAGCAACACAATTTGACGCATGATGCAACTCAATTCACTTAACCGCGCTGGCCTAGTCCCGACCCGAATCAAGATCGAATCAATCCGTTCGTTTTGCCTATACCGCTGCTTTTCTGGAGCATTTTATAAATCCCCCATGAAACCCGTACAACATCTCACTCACTCTTTGTGATTCGCCGATTTTCTCCAGCTTCACATATTTCATCCAACACCCAGCAATAAAAGTAGGTACGATGGGGCTCTTCTTTGCGTTTCCTTCGACTCCAAAGTGGCCACCGATAGATCCAAAAACACCGAAAATTCGCACTTGTTCTCTTCTCCTCTTTTTTCTTCTCTCTCTTCAATCGATCATTCGCTTCTTTTCTATTACGAAACCTCGAATCACTCCAGTTATTCTCCAATAATCCACTCGTTTCGGTTTTATTTTGCTTCTTTCACCGCACTTCGTTCTCTTGCTCTGCTTCTGGTCAATCTGATTGAAATCCGCTTGAACACTCTCGACGTCGATCCGAAATTTTCACTTGTTTACAAACTTTTTCGATTCGTGCTTCAACTCGGTATGGACTCCTGGTACCAATGGTGCATTTCTCCGCAAATCCCTTTTTGCAGCACAAATACCAAACTATTGAACGACACACAGTACAAAGTTGCACTTGATCCAATTTCGGCCAGATCCAGTTTGATCCCTTTCTTCCTCTTCGCACCGATCGCACACGTGTATGAAATTTGAACTTTTCTCTTATTTTTATTCACTGCCAGTTAGGGGTGCAAAAGCCTTTCTCCTCATTGATATGCGCGCGCACTCCAAAATCCGCACACTCTATTCCCACAATGAGTGTACGTCGAATCGCGCGTTTCTGCAGGTAGCTGGCCACACAGTAAAGGCAGACAAATCTACAGAAATTCCAACGGACAACACTTGTGTTTGCGTTTTGCGTAGATACAAGATACAAACAGGCAGAAAGACAGACAGACAGACAGACGTACCAAACCGTTCACCTGAAGGTTCGAAATCGAACTAAAGATGGATCAGCTCAGGCAGCAGGCGCAAGTCTCACCCAGACCCCGGCGATCGCTGCTGGGTGTGGGATTCGAGCAGTTTCCATTAGTCTGCGATTTCTCCTTCTTGCGATCGAGTTGTGCCACGACACGGCACATGTTCAGGTATCAGGCAGTAGGTGCGCTCCCCGAGGAAGTTGTGTGAGCGACGACGGAGCTTGAAAGTTTCAGCTCTCACAGGTGTTGTTTCTATGCTGCAAAGGGGTAGCACTACAGTCTCATGTAGGGAAGAACAGTCCACAATGCATATAATGCATATAATTCAGGGAATTTATGTGATGAAATGCTAGTTTAGGTACTAAACTAGCTATGCTGCTCGTTAAATTCAAGAATTGATTATGCGAAAGCTATGAAAATCTGCGCGGATCTATTTTACCCCAAGGGTGCATTTTGACCTGCCCTTCCCTGCATCGGTATATCCAGCCGAGAGCATAACTGACTGATGCACACGCTTCCTCTCTCGTATACGCCTCATGCGAGTGGTCCCATATGTTGAGAGCTTTTGAGAGTACATTCTACGGAGAAAAGCTCAGCTAGCAAGCTTTTCCACCAGTGCTACAAGATCTACTGTTAAAGTACGTATGTGCAGCAATTTCATTTGCATTAGCAAAGCGGTATAGGTGACCGTACATTTTCGTGCCTAGTGCATGAAACAGAACGACACACTCCGGTCGAATGCCGGGCAAAATCCAAAAAAAAAAACAATGTTTATTTTTAAGGCAAATCTGGGCAAGTTGAAATGCGGGGTAAGTTGAAACGGAAGGCGTAACTATTAGCGAAAGGGAATAATCATTGTGATTAATTTCACCAGTGTAATATAAAATTAAACGCATCCTACGACTTTCTAATCAGGTAGTTGCAAACAGCTTTGTTAATTTTTGTTATGGAATATACAACAATCATTTTTTTCCGCAGCGCTTCAATCTTCTCAAAAAAGTTAAAATTTCTGATTTATTATTGTTATATATCAACCCCGATTCAGGATACGTTTTATCCGAAAACCACAAATCAGCAATGATTCGATTTAAAAGTAATTCTACAGCATGACAGATGCCACAGAGCATTCCCAAGTGACAATTTTGGTTTTATAAGGGTTCTGAAAACCGTGATTTAGACTTGTAGCATGCTTTAAAACCTCAATAAACTTGGGTTATACTTATCACACACTTAGAAATGATTACCGACTTTGATAATTTTTACCGAACTTTTCACAGCTGAACTGTTCGGTAAAAATCAGTCATTTTAATTCCTTAGTTTAAATATTCCAAAACAAGGAAAACATCACTAAAATGGCAAGACAAGGCTGACAGTGTTTTGAAATTAAAATTTAGTGGAACAGCTTTCGAAATAAGGGTCAAAAAGGAGTTGAGGCCATTTCAATTGTTGGTCTTGAATTTCTACATGTGCAAATGCTGTCAAGCGGTTATTCTGGCCCTATTATCACATATACTACAAGTCGCTAAGACTTAGAAGTCAGAGAACTATTGTTGCTTGCAATCTTTCCTTAATAACGAGTTAATTTCGTGATCTGTCATTTCAAGTTGGGTGATTTTTTTTCTGTGTGTTTATGATGAAATCAAAATAGAGGACAGAATGGCGACTACAGAAAATCTTCTTCGGTGCAAGGAGAAAAACACCAGGATACTGATCTACACTTGTACACTTGTGTTCTAGACACGACCGTGTATATATAAATTGATGTATGTCATGCATTTTTGACTATCATACCATAGAGGGAACCAGAAGGTCCAGAAGTAACGTGCTCAACTTTTTGGCTCAGCTCTGGTACTATCTTCGGTCCCAAGCTAATCGATGCACCCCTCGAAACATAGGAAATTCCACGAACCTCTCAGTTTATCTGTCAAACTTTCATAGCGAATTAAAACAAACATAGTGTAGTGCTAGAATTTTGACTAAAATGGGGTCCGTTAATCGATTTGTTTAGGATCAATAGGCTAGTCAAGTTGTGAGCCAATTTAAAATTATAAGTTTCCACCGGTTGATTATACTTTATCTTAAAATTTTCAAGTATTTCAATGTTTCGGTTATGGTTCAATGTTGGTTCAAGTATTTTTCCTGGAATGTAATAAATTTTGAAAATTCAAATGTAAGGTCTAAACAAGCCGTTTCATATTTTGGAGTAGCACCCCAGTATATTCCATAAAGACGCCATGCAAGTTGTGGGATAAAACCGAGGGGGCGACTCTATCTACACACTAAGATTATTTTACAGATTTCTGTAAAATTTTACCGAAATCTCAACAGCTGAACGCTCGGTAAACAATTTTACAGTTTTCCTGTAATTATTTACAGATATCTGTAAAAAAAATCACAGATATTTGTGAAAAATTACAGGAAATTTGCGTAACTGTTTACCGAACGTTCAGCTGTTGAGATTTCGGTAAAATTTTACAGATTTCTGTAAAAATTTCTAAGTTTTTTTTTTTTTTTTTTCTTTATTATAGAGATTTTTAGCCTGAGGCTAGTTCATCTCTTAATTTCTAAGTGTGTAAGATGCAGGAATTTTTTTGCTTTGCTGTTGTCAGATGCACTCGCGTTTAATAGATAGAAACACGATTGATTATGATTTTGAAGACTTCCTGCAAAAAGGTGGAGAGCGATGCAGTAGATGGGTTTAGATGCAAGAGATGAAAAAAGATTTTTCGTAGATTGATTCGCTAGTGTGAGATTTTTCCGACCATTTAAAATCAAGATTTAGATGTGTCGCACCCCTCGGATATAACAATAACGAAAAAATACATTATTTTTTCAACAGCTCCATTATTAGTTTGAACTTAGGTCTCTGAAGCAGAGAAGAGAGTGAAGACTGCCTTTTATGATAACGCAACAGGCAGTTGTTTTCCTTATCAGAAGACGGTACTTTCAATATTGAACATAATGTTGATTCATATTATAGAGGGTCTACTATAAGGACTATAAAAGAGGAGCGGACTGGCTGATTTTGAGCCAAACGAACTGTCAAAGCAGTGCATATCTTGATTGTATTACCAGTGTTGCTAGAAATCAAATAGGCATAGGTTGCCAAGGCAGTTTGTTTTTAATCCGCTCCTCTCTTATACACTCAAAAATATTATAAAACGAATATAGATTAAAATGTATACATTTTATGGATTTTCAAAATTTATACATTGGTTCGATTAAAATTTTCGTCAAAATTATACTAAGTCCGAATAACAGAGTGGAATTCGATCAGTGTTTACTAAATGATAGGAAAAAGATCATCTGGTTGATCTTCAGAGCTTCGTGCTGGTGAAGAGCTTCGTCTCGGCGGATTTACACAGTGCATGTGATCAGCTGTGCAGCTAGACTGCGTGAGCACGAGCTCATCCTAATGATCATCGAAAAGGTATGTATTTTTTAAATAATATTCATTAAAATAAAATAATTAAAAAACCTTCCTGAGACAATTTTAATTTTGTTTTGAAAACAATAATATTTGATTTGAAAACAATAATATTTACCATAAATAAAATAAAAAAGCGAAAAATACATTCTCTCGAATAAACCGTATCTATGCATTGTAAGTATATTTCGATTTTATACTATGGCACGCATAAACCATTTTTATACTAAGTTTGCATTCTCTCCCTTTATACCGACCTTTGCGTCGGTACGGAGAGTTGCGATTTAGCGTAGCTTTTATACTATTTAGATTTCAATATTTTTTGTGTGTACTAGACCCTCTATAGTTCAGCGAAGTAGGGGAGGAAGGGATATAACCAACAATCAATTTGAAACTAACGATTTTAAATTGGCTCACTACTTGACTAGCCTATTGACACAAACGAAGTGACAGGCGGAGCGGCTCGAAAACTTTGGTGACTAACCTGCTATTTCAATTTTTCAGTGTATCACATGGCAACACCACTACTACTGGATTGTACCACATGGCAACACTACTACTAGATTGAACTAGCATTTTCACCAAATGTACTAGAATGTTTTGGTTCTATCTCTTTCACTCTACTCAAAACTGAAATGCATAAAAAAATGACAAAATGATACGCACTCTTTGCACACTGTCAAAGAATCATTGTACACAAAATCAACTTTGTTCAAATCAAAACAAAAAAACTAACCCATCTGGTGGATGATGGCACAAGCTTCCAATAAAATTCTATTACAGTGAACCACATTATTTTAATGGATTTCTTCGCCAGTTAGTCGTCTGTCACTTCGTTTGTGCTATTGATCCCAAGCAAATCGATTAACGTATCCCATTCTAGTATAAATTCCAGTACTACACTATGTTTGTTTTGATTCGCTATGAAAGTTTGACAGATAAAATGAGGGGTTCTTGGTTTTTCCAATGTTTCGAGGGGTGCATCGATTAGCTTGGGACCGAAGATAGTACCAGAGCTGAGCCAAAATGTTGAGCTCGTTTCTTCGGGACCTTCTGGTCTTAGAGTTAGCTCTATGATATAACTTTGTCTGTGATATAACCATAGGGATCAAGTAGTGAGCCAATTTAAAATCGTTAGTTTCCACTGGTTGATAAAACGATCATACGGAGTTTAAACCGACAACAAACTTTAACATAAAATTATCATGCATCATCATTATGTAGTTTACAGCGTGTTCGTAGAATGATGGAAAATAGAATACTGTGACTTTTCTCAAATCAAACGTTTGGTTTCCAATAAGTAGGTTTTCGTGCTGAGTCTCTTCAAGATCAAGTTGAATACACCGTCAAACCTGGGAGCCTTCATGTTCTTGGTGCATTTCAGCGCTGAGGAAATCTGTTGTACTGTAATGATATCCACCGGAGGCATCTAGGTTTACCGCAACCTGATCATCGAGCGGACTTTGGATAGTCGAGCCAAGCAAATGCGATGAAGCGACATGCTCGCCGATCGCATTTGCTTTCTCCTGTGGGGTGATTAAAAACCGATCGTCATCATTTTCAACTCTGAGAGGTGGAACGGGTTTGGGATGAGTTTTCATGACCTTGGCTACCTTCCAGAATGGTCTGCCCAAGTAATAATTATGGTTTTATCAGGGTTCTGTGGACCATGATTTAGACTCGTAGAATGTTTTACAACCTCGATAAAACTTGCAATGTTACATACATTCACGATATCATAGATGGTACGACCATACCACATAGAATTGTAATGATATCCAGAATTGGTGGTTACACTGAACCAATATGACATATTCCTGTTATGTGGAAGTCTAATAAATTTGTTCTATAAGATAATCCAATGAAAACGATATGATTGAAAATGTGTCAGGTAAATTCTATATGAAAATCTGATACATTTACAATGCTGATAATTTGGTAACTTTTATATGATCGGCATATGATAAATGAAAATCGGTCAAATTATAATAATTAACTGAAATGGATTTGAAACTCATAAGCATAAGCTTAACTTTTCACCACAATATAATAACTATATGTGTCATAAATCAATCGAAGTAAAGTTTATGTGAACATCCCATGAAATTTACTTCTTCTTTTGACACATATATTTAATCGATTTCTAAAAATAAATCGAAAAATAAACATCAGGCAGTGGGGGCTTTCACATTATATGAGTTCATGGAACTGGTTCATGAAGTTCGAGTACTAGTGCTGGAATTTGAATTAACCGTGCACACTAAGATTTTGTTTCCGTGTTCGGTAAATTTTACCTGAACATTCGGTAAAACTTTGACCTTCATTTTAAAGGCAATTGAATTTGCAAATAGTTTCAAAAAAGTTCAAACTTGTTTATATGATCAAGTCTTGTCATTTTAGTGGAGATTTAGTTTCAAAGTAGCTTTTACCCAGGGGGGACAACACTTCAGGATTATCCCATTTTTACCCAAATTACTCCTAAATTTTCAACGTGCACAAAATTTCAATCCATCCTATCTATTCCCAACTTATCCCTTCTGCATGCACACAAATCATCAAGCAAGCCGTGCAGTTTTCAGGTCGATCGTGAAGCACTGTCAGTTTTTTAACGATCTCCATAATAAACATGGTGTTAAAAAAATTTGATATGCGTTGAGTCGTTCAAGGTGACGATTGTCCTGGTGAAGCTGGTGGAAATGAATTAGGGAATGAATAGTACGAAGGTAACCACCACGTATATCTATGAAGTGATTTCTCGATTGGATTCCCGGGGGAGCTTAAATTAAAATAGATGACGGACCACTCGTCTATAATTGGTCGCGGGGGCAAATTCATCAAGCGCGTCATAGAGGAGACAAAAAAAAACAAATGAGAACATCTGAAATAAGAAACAGTAAAAATCGTTAAACTGTTTATTTTTTAATCTGAATTTGAAAGAATTAATGAAACACACTCGATTCAGTCCAATGGAAATAAAAAGAATCATAAAATTGAAACTGAACCCCAAATTTTCAAAAGTTGAATGTGAAAATTCACAGATTTTGAGTGGTGCCAGTATTGCACGAGTCCGACGATATATCTCGCTCTCTCATTTGCGGAGAGTCGATCGAATATTATAGGGCAGGTGTGGGATGAGCAGGATGACCAGTGAACCGGGAAATCGGGAAAAAGCTGGGAATTTCAATGACAAATCGGGGAAAAAATTACTTCATCTATTTTTCAGAAAAAAGATTTTGGGGCTTTGAAAAGTTTTAAGATTCTTGAACCAGACTAAACTTTTTTGGAATTTTGAGTAGATTTTAGAATGAATGTCAGGGATAACAAGTCATTTCAGATGATATTAAAGGTAGTTTTAGAAAGCGCTCTAAGAGATTTTAGACTTTCACTCCACGTCACTTTTGTGAGTTCAAATTCAGGGTAGAATTTTTAAGTTAATCCGTGGAGAATTGCAAATCGGTTGTGAAGATCACATATATCACATATATCAGATCGATAGTAGAGGGCTTTTGTAGTCCAGCTGTCACCATCCAAACATTATTTTTCACTGAGCATTGACTAAAATGGCTACTTCGATGTTTTTCTTTCGTACTGTTTCATTTCAGTTGCACGCATCCCCATGACAATTTAAAGCAACCTCGCATCCAATGCAATCCCATATTATTTTTTCTATCCTTACTCAATTTTCGTCAAGACGACAAACTGAAAAAACTCTCTTCAATTACATTATTTTTACAGGCAAGCATGGTAAAATAGAATTCATCTGAATGAGTGTCGTTCCCCCTGCTTTTACCGAACAGTTCAGCCATAGAGGTAACTCTAAGACCACTGGGTCCCGAAGAAAATCATTATTATTTTTGGCTCACTCAGTATCAGAACAACGGTCCCAAGCAGTCCCAAGCTATTTCACTCACCCCTGCATGTTATGCAAATCGATTAACGTACCCCATTCTAGTCAACATTCTAGTACTACACTATGTTTGTTTTGATTCGCTTTGAAAGTTTGACAGATAAAATTAGGGGTTCGTGGATTTTTCTATGTTTCGAGGGGTGAATCGATTAGCTTGGGACCGAAGATAGTACCAGAGCTGAGCCAAAAAGTTCGGCACGTTTCTACAATTAATCATGTTTTGTTGTTTTTGACATCATCCACATCCAGAGGGCCAGTCACTTTCGAATGTATGGGAATGGTAGGAAACCATTTGGAAATGCATGAAAATTTTCAGTTTTTATTCATTATCGTTTTTATGGGCAGTTTTAGATGCACAAAAATTGCACGAGTACATTACTATGGTGATAAGGTAAACACTCGTTTATTTGTTTCCTTCTGTGAAAGCATGTTTAGTCACAAATCGTGGATTTTCTGATATTCTCCATACTGCAAAAATGATTTTCCTACCACTGAAGGGGCGACATCTCTCGGATCTTCAGTATAGCTACTACTCAAATCATATAATTAATTAGAATCTTCGCAAAGTAAATATTACAGTAGAATCATTTTTTTCAATCTCAATACATTCTTTTCCGGAACCCCTTATCTTATGGAACAATAACAAATAAGGATTATTCAATACAGTACCATTGTTGTTAGCTATATTTAGTACGACTTATCATTTTAATGAGTGTACAATAACATCGTTCAAAATTGTTTCAATAATTTATGAAGAACAATCATGTAAGATGTATTTTATTGGGAGCGATATTCATCCCAGAAAACCATGCCAATACAATTGTTTGCTGTTGGATTTCTTAAAAGGCTAATATATATGACTATATAATGATTGGGATAGATCTGTTTACAATCTTTAAAGGTTAAAAATCAAAGGAAGCTATTACAATGAGATATACATGTTTTCCTATACTGCAAAGTTAAATGATTGTCCAATAGTTTCTACATGTCTGTTTACACGCAACATATCAACAAACATCAACAAACGTTAAAAGCAACTCCAATAAAATAAACATAATTATCTTATAAGATATATCTTTTAGTAAGCTTATTCATCATGAAAACAGGAATATTTTACTGAATTTTCTCATAGTGCAAACTAATATGATTTTCCATTAGTTTCTAGATGTCTGTTCCCACCCATTACATCAGGCATAACATTTGATAACGGCACAAAAGCATTTGTAAACAAACTTTCTAAGGCCCTTTGCACGTGAACCAAAGTACGCCCACGCAAACCAATACCACTTTCGGAAAGGTGATAGTTTCCCCTATCCGATGATGTTGCTGGTTTGCGTAGGCGTACTTTGGTTTTCGTGTAAAGGGCCTTAGAAAGTTTGTTTACAAATGCTTTTGTGCCGTTATCAAATGTTATGCCTGACATATCACCAGTTTTTCACCATGAAATATATCAGACAATATGCATATACATCTTATTTATCGCTAACAATGCTCGAAGCAAAGTATTATCAAGTACTAAGTATGTGAAATTACGATATAAATCATTCCATATCGCAGTCATAGTTTTTAAGTGATATGGAATGATTTATATCGTCTTCATTTGTATTACTTTTAAGCTTTATGGGAATATTGTCATTGGAAAAATCTGTGGTTTGCTGAATACATTCAACTGAAGAGCCTAAATTTATAAAGAGGCGACATGTCAAAATTGGAACAATCGATTGTCTGTCAAAGTCATAGGAAAAGTCATTCCAATCGAGCAGAAGACCTGTCAAATGGATAAGGTGTCGTCTCTTTATAAATTCAGGCTGTTTACATTCAACCATGTTCCAACCTCGGTTCCAAATCATCGTGCTGTACTGTAATTTTCAAATAATAACATTGCCGGTCTTCTCAGCACTGCACGTCATTGATGACGTTTTCGCATCCACTGACACTTGTAACTGTCAAAAAACGTCAACAAACAGATTCAAAACTGTTTTCGTGGTCTTCATCGTTACTGAATTTTATTAATATCAATTTAGGACTATTTTGTGGCTAAATTTGTGCAAATCGACAATCCTTTCAACAGAATAATGTTCTCAGAACACCAAACATCCGAAAGCGACTGATAAACGATGGCTTTCATCGAGGATACGATAATCATTTTGGTCTCGCAGGTGCGTATTTTACTGAATTTTGTCCAAATACATATTCGAGTTTTAATTATACCGGCTTTGTATCCCATACGTTGTAGGTGTGCTTCTTCATCGGAGGATGGATATTCTTTGTGAAACAACTGTTCCGGAACTACGAAATCCGACATGTCTTTGTGCAGCTGGTTTTCTCCATCACATTCGCTCTGTCGTTGACGATGTTCGAGTTGATAATTTTCGAAATCATCGGATTTCTAGACTCGAGCTCCAGGTACTTTCACTGGAGGCTGGGCCTGACACTGCTGCTGTTTATGGTGATTGCGTTGATTCCATACGTGATAGTGTATTCTTCCATTAACAACATTCGGATGGGTGAGTTAAGATTGTTATATGGAAGCAGTCGATTGGAAATTATCTACATAATTTTGTTTTATAGTGCCTCAAAAGTGGGTGCAACCGATAAGTACGTTGTTATGGTTTTGCTATTTGTACGTTTTCTGGAGAATCGGTGATCCGTTCCCACTGCTTAGTGTAAGCAAAGGGATTTTCACGATCGAACAAGCTGTTTCCAGGATAGGCGTGGTGGGAGTAACGGTAATGGCCATACTTTCCGGTTTTGGTGCCGTGAACTATCCGTACACGAGCATGTCCTACTTCATAAGGCCAGTGTCCCAGAGTGACGTGACCAACATCGAACGAAAGTTGATGCAAACGATGGATATGATACTGGTGAAGAAGAAGCGGATCGCACTGGACCGGAGGAGAACTAAACCAAATGCTAAGCCCGGGATTTGGGGCATGATCAGCAGTGTGACCCAGAGACCACCGGGTGCCGAAAGTAAGATTTTGTTTTTAAATAAATTATAGGTTTAATCTTATCTCAAAGGTTTTATTTTATTTTAGATATCGGTCAGCTGAGGCTGGAAATTTCAGCCTTAGAAGAACTTTCGCGGCAGCTTTTCCTAGAAGCGCATTCGATGAAGAATATGCAGGAGCGGGAGCGATGGGCTGGTACTCTACAGGGGAAATATTTCAACGTTTTGGGTCACTTTTTCAGTTTATATTGTTTGTGGAAGATTTTCATCGTAAGTAACAACCATGTATTATTGAACCACAATAATCATTGAAGATTCAAATTTCAGTGTACTATTAACATCATCTTCGATCGTGTGGGTAAGAAAGATCCCGTTACGCGGGGTATAGAAATCGCAGTCCACTGGTGTGGATTCGATATGGATGTTGCCTTTTGGAGCCAGCACGTATCGTTTATGCTGGTGGGCTGTATTGTCGTAACATCCATAAGAGGTCTTCTGTTGACTCTAACGAAGGTAAAACTGCACTTTGTCGTTTATTTCGTAATCATTCTTTTCACACAAAAAGTAATATAATTGCAGTTCTTCTACAAGATTTCCTCGAGTAAATCATCCAATATAATAGTGCTAGTGTTGGCCCAAATCATGGGCATGTACTTTTGCTCGTCGGTGTTGTTGATGCGAATGAACATGCCCGCTGAATATAGGGTCATCATAACCGAGGTGCTGGGAGGCTTGCACTTCAACTTCTACCACCGATGGTTCGATGTCATCTTCCTGGTGAGTGCCCTAACGACCATAGTGATTCTCTATCTACTCCACAAACCACCAAACGTCGATACGAGTATGTAAATTTTACAATCAAGTCAGTTTGGCAAACGAATACTGCTGCTGTATATCTTCTATTCGTTTGTGTAGGTATGTAGGTAAACGCTGAACAATAAATTCTAATTTAAAACACTTTAGATATGTTAACATTGGCCATCCTTAGAATGACAAAATCATCTCCACTTTTTCTGTCATGCAATGCTTGTGATCTCTGTTGTATGTATTATCATACTGAAAATAGAACAAGGCGAAACAAATTTCAAAAAGTTTATTGCACACCTAAAAACGCAATCTCTTGTATGAGATGGTCTCACTTGTTGCAATCATTGGTGTTTCGCCACTGGATGTACATATTTTTTTCTAGGAGACGACACGTGAATGGAAAACTCAGTAACTCATGTAGACAAGTAGACGAAATATATACATAAAGCTATCCACCGTACTCAAAGTGGAGTGCAATTGTCACGGATGGAAAAGTTTTCCGTTTCTTTTTGATGACTTCCTGAACTTGATGAAAGTGGTGTGTTAAATGTGTTTTCCGAAAATATGGAGTGCTTAGCTTAATCTGTCAAAAGCGATTTGTATGTTTTACCCTGCGGTTTGCGGTCCCTTTTGTCAGATGGGGTTAAATGGGACGAATAGAAATACTTTCCAACACATTTGAAGGTGCATAAAACATATTGGGCTCTAAAGTTAATACAATTACTCTCAGGTATGGGTATCACTTTCTTCTATTATTGCTATTGCATCGCTAGTAAAAATACAGCAGCGCTACCAATAGCTTGATGGAACTCTTTCAGTATCTAACTAACAGGGAAAAATGTTTTTAGATGCTTTTTGAGCTTTGTGTAGCAGCTGGATGTATCTAGATAGAGCTGGAATTAGGGCGTAACAACCTTTGTAAACAATGACTTCTCTCGGTGATTTCTAGCAATTCAAGGTACGCCTACATAAAGAAACATATCCATCGAGTAGGGGAAGTCCAGAGTCAATGTTATAATAAGAGTCCCGCCAAGAGTGAAGCCAGAAGTACCAATCGAACTGTCAAGCGCTGTACCAAACAAGCAGAGTAAATAAACATTATTGTTCCCACAGCCAGTGAACTAAAAGTATTGCATTCATTACAAAATTTTAGTAATTTTAGATGAAAAACATTTCTTCGCTGTATTTAGTACTTTGTGTTATTTATAAGTTAAACCAAGAATTTGTTTGAATATTTTTCAGGTTATATAATTGTTTTTGTCTCCCTGAAGCTTCGTTATCGACATGACATTTTTCACTTCTGAATGAAAGTCATCCGATGCTAACGCAAAAAATTTGGTTGCCGTTTACTCTGACAAACAGTGCTGCTTGTTCGCAACATTTTCTCTTGACGGGACTCTTATTATAACATCGACTCTGGGGAAGTCTTCCCATACAAAAACTGTTTCGCCCTAATTCCAGCTCTATCTAGATATGTACAGCGATATATACATATACGATGTGGACAGCATACACATTGATTCACTTTTTTGGGTTGTATCCAAGATGAATGCGACTGACAAGATCGTGGTTGTTGGCGATTTTAATCTTGCTTCAGTCAATTGGTCATCGAATGCAGCAGGGTTCTTTCATCCTCGGTCTAATGGCTCATATAATACACCTCTAGTAGCATATCTCCTAGATTGCTACAATACTGCTGATCTTCTGCAACGGAACGAGATCTCCAATGAAAATCATAGACTGCTTGATTTGCTCGAGCCAAAAGGCACCCGGACGACTAGTTAAACGTTGTAGGCACCATTTACCTCTGCAGTTATCATTACACTTATATCAGGCTTGCACTTTTCGGATTACCGTGGACAGCGTTTCGTATGACTACCGAAGGACTGACTTCGAGGGAATGACAACCTTTTTCGAAAACATCAGCTGGGACGATAAACTCGGAGATCGTGACGCGTATGCTGCATTTTCTGTTTTCTCGAATATTGTCGTTTATGCGATCGATCAGTTTGTACCCATGACAATTCCACCCATATCTAGTAACACTTCTTGGTCCAACCACCTACTCAAGCAACTGAAGTCATCCAAACGAGCTGCAGAGGCATCCAAGAGGAAGTACAACCTCGTTAACAACCAATATAAGCAGCTCAACAAACAACTTTATCAAGCCCATCAGCGCCATCTACAACTCAAAGCAAATCCCAAGAGTTTCTGGAATCATGTGAACGATCAACGGAAGTAAGCGGGCTTACCTTCTACCATGTACAATACGGATCTAGAAGAGTCTGATATGGAGGGAATCGCTGACCTGTTCATGTCACAATTCAGCAATTTACCTAACGAGCACATCCTAGCCGCCATAAGGGAGGTTCCCGTACTTTCTGCTGTTGGACCGCATCCACCTATCTTGACTAATGATGTTCGTAGAGCAGGCCTTCGTTTGAAAAATTCTTTCAGCACTGGCCCTGATGGAATCCCTTCCGCGGTTATTAAGAACTGCATTGGAGTGCTGGCTGCATCTTTAGCATCCATCTTCAACCGCTCTTTGGATTCTGGGATCTTTCCCGATGGCTGGAAAAAGGCAATAAGCAGTCGGTGTTCAACTACCGTGGCATCGCTGCTTTATGTGCAGTCTCAAAACTTTTGGAACTATTGGTGCTAGATTATTTGCTCTAGTTACAACGCGATTTATGCCGAAGAACTTCAAATCTCGTTCAATACACAGCATCAATCATACGCGAGATGGAAAGAGGTCATCAAGTGGATGTTATCTATAGCGATCTTTCCGCTGCTTTTGATAAAATCAATCACGATATTGCAGTGGCCAAACTAGAGCTGTTTGATGTTTAGTGTAACAAGAACAGGATGGTATTAAATGCTTCTAAATGTGCCTTTATAACGTTTTCCAGGAAAAATCACCTATCTGTTACTCTTACAGCATGCAGGAGCAAATATTAAGCCGTGAGTCAACCATAAAAGACTTAGGCGTCATACTTGATTCACAACTCACCTTCAAGGATGTTTCCGCTAAGGCCTCTTCTCAACTTGGTTTCATTTTTCGTTTCACAAATGGAAGATAAACTTTTTTGCTGTTTTATTTAAGCATTCCGCTAACAACCCAATTTCATTACTTCAGCATAAAAATCTCTGGTCACGTCTTCCTTCGGAATGGGAAGCAAAGCTGTTGATCCCAAAGGGTGCGATATCATACGCAGGTGTGGAGGTTGCCTTCCTGCACATTCGATTGCCGTCAATGGATGACAATCAATGTCCGCCGATAATTGGCACTAGATTCCGGAATAAAGACCGGTGTTAAATAAGGGAATGAAGAAGAAGAAGAAGAAGTTCGCGAAAGGATTTTGTTCACCCACATGCAAAATCCTGAGTTGTCGCATTGCGCCTTGGGAAAACCAATTTCCCAGCAAGATGACAAATAACCTTAGTTTCTCGTACCCACTTGCAAATATTAGATGTCGCAACACAACGTTAACAATGGGATTGTCCTTCACCGCCACAACGGTGTTTCTCTATGAGAAACAAAAATTTTGTTTCACCATATGTGGATGTCAAACAACAGGCAAGAATGCCATATGAAAAGAGTGAGTTTATGATTTTCGTGGAGAAATTAAATAAATCCATACAAATTGAACCGATTGATTGAGTTTCATCTTATATCATCGAATGGTAATCAAAATACTTTCATTTCTCCAGTTCTATTTTGCTCTTGAATTTGATCGGCCTGCAGATTATTGCTTTGAACATAGTTGTGCGATGAAGGTTTTCTTTCCCGTGTTTCTCTTACGGGGTACAGTTTGAGAGGCTAAAATTGGCCTTCGACAGACGTACAAAGTACACCGTAGTACTAACGTTGTACTCTTTTAACTCAAATTGTACACAAATTGTACACTATACATTTGTCGGATTACCCTAATAAAAAATTACCATAAACGAACGATAACCCAAATTATCGAACTATTCTACAAATGGTTTGGATGATACCCCGAACACGTCATTAATCAAATTAACCATCACATTTTATTAGAGTAGCCGGGGGATATTATAATAAGTACTCTCTTACTTGCTGCAAAACCATTCTTTCTTTGTTTATCAACTTTTTTTCAGTTTTGTGGTGGCAGTCGTCCATACTTTTCTAGAGTACTGTTGTCGAAATCACCGAAGGATTCTATAACATTCCCCAGAAAAGCATTCCCCCGAAAACCATTCCCCAGAAAACCATTCCTCAGAATCTCATTCCCCAGAATGCACCATTCCCTAGAAAAGTATTCCCCAAAATGAACAATTCCCCAGAAAACCAGTCCCCAGAATGTACCGTGCCGATTCAAATTTCGGACACTTAAACTCGAATTTCGGACACTTTTAAAAGTTGATTATCTCGGTCGAATATGATCCACATGTCTTGTAAATTTTAAATTTTTTTGACTAGTGCCCTCCACGATCATCTAACATTATTACTTTGTTTCTATCTAACTGGATGTAATATTTAATTAAAAATGAAAGTGTCCGAAATTTGAATCGTCCGAAATTTGAATCGGAACGGTACCATTCTCCAGAAAAGTATGCCATGTATTAGATTGACAATTTTTGTTTATTAAAATCACTCCTGGAATCTTCTCCCTCCCCATGGACATGAAGGTTGACGGTACTGAAGCAAAGGGTTATGTTTAATTTCTTAATATTTGCAACGATGATGATTTCCTATAGTGACACATATCACCTTCTTAATGCTTCAGTATGCCTCAAACGATTAATTCTTGGTTGTTAATAGAACTTCCTTGATGAAATCGGCTGCTTCATGCAGACTGAGCAATTCTGATTATAGTATCAGATTTGTTCTGTATACAGAGGAACTGGGAGGGCTTATGAAAAACTTCTCACCAATAAAGTAATGATCTTCTAGTAAATTTTGCATATAATTTTATGAATATTTTATTTTATTTAAGCATATTATTTTTGTTACAGTCAATTAGCATTAGCATACGATACAAGATATTTAATATTACTTGCTCGTTTTTGCGTAAAATAATCAATATTTATTTTACTTGTAATTACCTTTGAAATTTTTTTCAAGTTTTTTTTTGTGATCTGAATTTTTTCCCACTTTGGTTAGAAGTTTCGAAGCTAACGCATGTCCACAAGCCTAATAGAAAGATAGACAGAAAAAAAGTATCACGAAGAATGGTTGCATGCAGGGTTGCTTCCACTCACTTGCTATAGATGAGTGATTATCGGAGTTTTGAATTCGTTAGATGTTGTAATGGAGATTTGTGTTGTTGGATGCGGGAGGAGATTGAAGGGCGGGTGTTTGACGCATAGAGCCTGTCCATTTCGCTTTCAGAGTGTCGCAGTCATCGGTTTTATGATTCGTGAGTGCTCGCGATTCGTAGAATCATTGATTGTGACTGGAAGTGGATTTGGCGGATTTTGTGTGTCAGACGCTTGCTTTTTTGCCTCTTCTT